AGGTCTGCTTCCCATGTACCTCTGGGCTCCAAGCTTTCTGGAGTCCCCAGTGCCCCTAGATCCTTACGTAGGGTTTTCCACCAATGCCCTCTCTGCCACACTTTAGAGTTGCCATGTAAAGTTGATGAATATGGCAACCAGATATGGAGGAGACTCCGGGATAGTCTGAACAAAGACAGGTAAACGATTCAACATTGGGCCACTGTTAAACTATTTAAAAATTTCACAAAGTAGAAAATTATGTCATTTATTAGCCCCTGTGTTCTGATTTTTAGGTCAGCAAATCTGGTTGCGATATGGGAGCACAGTACCTTGTTTTCCACTTTCCCACTCTTCCTTTTCCTCCCTCAATACAATATCTGCCCCACTGGGGCTTGCTTCTCCTTTCCTAGGAAGTTGTTGATTGATCCAATAAAGAAACCAGAGCCATTCCTCCCCAGCAGCCCCCTTCAGGCTATGGGCATTTTCACAGGGGCTTTCAGTTAATTCATGCTTTACCTCTCATAGTGATTCTTAATGGTAGGGATTAGGACATTGGGGCAAGTCAGCAGGGAAATATTTTTGACAAAAGTAGCTTTGATTACTTATCAAATCACATCTGAGAGGCAACTACCTAGGCCACCTGGGCTTGTGTCTGCAGGGGGCAGGGAGCATTTTCTTCTTCCTCCTTCAGCCAACTGCCTCCCCTCCCCCTACTGAAATGTGTTAAGTTTTCATTCATTTTTGCATTAATCAGAGCTAAGTGGTGGGAATGAATAGTCGTGAAGGGACATAAACAGGAAGCATGTGTAAGGGTACTGCTACCTGGAATACACTTGCACAAGAAACCACAAACCCTGGCTTTTACACTGCCATGATCCATTTAACAAAGTGACACTGGGATATCACTGACCGTTTCTGGCTTGGTTGGTGACGTGGTCTTTCAAAGTGCAGCTCACTGTGTGTTCTGTTTAGCACTTTGCTTAAAAGAAAAACGACTTTTATGAACCTCAACTCCTACCTCAAGCCAAACACAAAAATGAAAGTGAAAACAGATCACAGACCTAAATGTTAACTATAAAACTCCAAGAGGAAAACACAGGAGAAAATCTTCACAACCTTGGAGTAGGCAAAGATTTCTTAGCTACAACACAAAAAACCTGAACCAGAAAAGAAAAAAAATGGTAATTTAGAAATCACCAAAATTTTAAAATTCTTTTAAAAAGACACAGTTAAGCACTCAAAGAGAGGGTATGTGAATTATATTTCAATAAAGCTGTTTAAAAAAAAATCTCAAAGAAAGCAAGCCATGGAATGAGAGATAATATATGTCACATTATTATCTGACAAAGGACTTGTATCCAGAATAAATACTCGTACAATTCGATAACAACAGGACCATCAACCTAATTTAAAAATTGGCAAAAGGGCTTCCCTGGTGGCGCAGTGGTTGAGAGTCTGCCTGCCGATGCAGGGGACACGGGTTCGTGCCCCGGTCCGGGAAGATCCCACATGCCACGGAGCAACTAAGCCCATGCGCCACAACTACTGAGCCCGCATGCCACAACTACTGAAGCCCGTGCGCCTAGAGCCTGTGCTCCGCAATGAGAAGCCACTGCAATGAGAAGCTAGCACACTGCAACGAAGAGTAGCCCCTGTTCACTGCAATTAAAGAAAGCCCGCGTGCAGCAATGAAGACCCAACACAGCCAAAAATAAATAAATAAATAAATTTATTTTTTAAAAAAATCACTTCCTTACTCTATGGCCCTACAATTTGTTCCAGGCCCATCTTGTTCCTGCCTCAACTCTAGAATCAAGAATCCCTGGTTGTTTATCAGAGGATATTTAGAAATCAAGATCTGGATGCTAGATTTCATTGCTACTGCAGTGTCACTGCTTCTAGGCCCTCTCCCAAACAGAGCTAGGAAATATATGTGTGCTTTTAACATACATATCTCTATTTATTTCTGTATCTATCCATTTGTTTATATATTTAAAATCATGGGTTCATACTGACACTTCGTTTTTTCTTTGGAGTATAGTTGGTTTACAATGTTGTGTTAGTTTCAATACTGACACTTCTAATTATCCAGCACCACAGGGTTCATTCCCCAATTCCCTCTTTCTTTATGTGTAACTTGTTTTTCCAGCAAGGAGAAACCTGACTCATTATCCACAATATCTTTCCTTATTTGTTCAATTCTAGAATAAAGTCGCTTCACAATTGTTAATATACACCCCTGTGAAAAATAAACGTACTAACTAGAGTGCAATATTTGTATAAAGTTATTTTTGTCTTTGGCCTTACAGTATACAGTCAAAATACTGTTTTCCAAACTTACTTAACTTAGTCTTTTTTCTTCTCCACCCACTTGTTGTGGTTATGCTAATCACTGACAATACAGTTGTTTGTTCATCCCTGCTTGTATTCTATTTTGGCTTCTCTCCACACCCTTCTTGTATGTATGTGTATGTAGAACATTATAAGGGTTCTCATTTCTCCACACCCTTGTCAACATTTATCTCTTGTTTTTTTGACTATAGCCACCCTAGTAAGAAGTGGTACCTCTCTGTGGTTTTGGTTCGGATTTCTCTAATGACTAATGGTGATCTTTTTAAGTGCTTATTGGTCATTTGGATATCTGATGTGGAGAAATGTCTATTCAAGTCCTCTGCGCATTTTTAAGTTGGATTATGTATATATTTTTTTAATTGTTGAGTTTAAGAGTTCTTTATATATTTTAGATACAAGTCCCTTGTCAGATATATGACTTGTATGAATATTCTGTCCCAGCCTGTAGGCTGTCTTTTCGTTTTCTTGATAGTGTCCTTTGATGCACAAATGTTTTTAATTTTGATGAAGTCCAATTTACTTTTCCTTTCTTGCTTGTGGTTTTGGTGTTATAAGAAACCACTGCCGAAGCCAAGGTGATGAAGATTTATGCCTATGTTTTCTTCCATGAATTTCATTTTAGCTCTTATATTTAGGTCTTTGATCTACTTAGAGTTAACTTTTACATGTAGACATTTAGTTGTCCCAGCATCATTTGTTAGAAAAGACTATTCTTTACCTATAGAATTATCTTGGTACTTTTGTCAAAAAAAAAAAAAAAAATCGACTATAAATGTAAAGGCTTATTTCTGGACTCTCAATTCTATGACATTTTCCTATCTATCTTTAAGCAAATACCATACTGTCTTGATTACTGTAACTTTGTAGTAACTTTTGAAGTTGGAAAGTGTGAGTTTTCCAACTCTCTTCTTCTTTTTCAAGGTTGTTTTGGTTATTCTGGGTTCCTTGCATTTCCATATGAATTTTAGCATTGGCTTATTGATTTCTGTAAAAAGGCCAAATTTGATAGGGACTGCATTGATTCTATAGATTAATTTGTGGAGTACTGCTATCTTAAAAATACTAAGTCTTCCGATCTATAAAC